CGCACTCACACACACTGCCCCAGGCTTCTACAGGGAGCCAGTGCTTTGCCACTAACACAACATGCAGGATGCTAAACATTCCAGAAAATGGCTATACCAGCCTTTTCACACAGCACCTGTAGACAGCCCAAAACACTTCACAGGGTACTTTTGAAGGATGACAGGACAACCTGGAATTAATTAATGGTCACATACATGGACTTCTGACTTAGAAATGCCCAGTGTACACGGCATCCACCCAGGCAGACCTAGACCCCAGGGAAGACAGAAGAGAGGCTTCTGGGCCTCTATCTTTCTCTTGTAGGTAAAGGGAAAAGCAGGTCCCCAACCTGGTTCCAGCTACCACACTTTTGACCATAACCAGGATGTAATCGTCCAGGTTGGGAACTACACATCATTTCCAATAAATGCATTTTCTTTCTTTCTTTCTTTCTTTTTTTTTGGAGAGGTTTTTGCTATAGGGCGCGTGCGCTCGCCAGACAGACAGAGAGAGACAGAGAGATAGAAAGCAGGAAATCACCCCCCAGGGGGGATGGCCACACCGCAATCCCTTCTCCTCCATTCTCCTCTCCGGATCTTGGGCACGCACGCACACGCGCCCGGCGTGAGTTTAAGCCACCGGGTCCGGGACTTGAACCGCGGTCGACTACGTGGGAGTCCAGCGACATAGCCATTACGTTAACTGCTGGTCCCTCTTTTTTTTGTTGTTGTTGTTGTTGTTCTTTTATTGTTGACGTTGTTGTTGGGTTTTCTGCAATTTAGGAGACATCACTCATTTCTGAACATACATAAGTCTAATGGACAAGAGGCTCTTTTTCTATATCAGTTTTCAGGAGATTTCCAAATGACCCTTACCACTCTTCGTGCCTACAGAGTTTTCTTACTTTACCCCTCAGGTGCAGGCATCCATTTTACCTTGTGCTTTTTGTGCACGCATTTGCACTGGATCCCAAGTGTTTCTTCTATTTAACCCCCAGGGCTAGCCACATCCTACCTGTTCCTGGACAACTCTCTAATCTGGATCATTTTATTATTCCCAAAATGGGGCAAGAAGGATGGAGCTGGCCTACCAGCAGTGGGGAGACCGGGTGGGAAATAAGACCTGGTGAGTGCGAGTGGGCCCGGAGGGACCTGTCAGCTCAGGGGTCCATTTTGGAAATCACTCTCAGAGAGGAAATGGCAGACTGGCCCCTGGGCTCTAAATCGCATCTCCCAAAGCCAACCCAAACAGGTGGAAAAGCTCTCCAGACAAGGCGACATTTAAAAGCAAGGCAAAAACCCTGCTCCACGGACCACCGGTCATGTTCCCCGGGAAGCTGTGGTGACATGACCAACACCCCCCCCCCCCCCCCCCCTCCACGTCCTCCCCAGCGGGCGCAGGTCTCCAGGCATCTGCAAGGATGTGCGGGGCACTCGGTGCGGTTCCTAGCACAGTTGACCCGGGGACCGCAGCAGGGCCCGAGGGACGCCGGATGCCCCCTCAAGTACTGGACGGCGTCTGGGGAGAGGAGAGAAGGGAGACCGGGGAGGGCGTCGCTGCGCACTGCCGGCCTCCCTCCGCGTCGCGCCGCAGGGGCCTCGGGGAGGAGCGAGGTGCGCCGAGCGCCGAGCGCACAGCGCCACCTCCGCCGCCCGGATTCGGAGCTGGTCCCCCGGCCGGAGCCAGCCTCAGGCCCCCGGCGGACTGCGGCTGCCAGAGGGCCGC